CCCAGCTACTCAGGAGGCTGAGACAGGAGAATTGCCTGAACCCAGGAGGCGGAGGTTGCAGTGAGCCGAGATCGCGCCATTGCACTCCAGCCTGGGCAACAAGAGCAAAACTCCGTCTCAAAAAAAAAAAAAGAAAACAAAAATAAGCCAGCTGAGGTATATGAACAGGAGATACTAATCATTTTAAAAGGCTGGACATCGATGTTATAATCTGGGGATAAATAGAACCACCTAAATAATTTGCCATTTTCTCTCTGCAGGACCACTATGGGGAACCGATCCCCATATCCAGAATTTTATTCATAGTCTTTTATCAGATGCACTAATTTCCTTAGGATCCAAGGATTGATGAAGGTTTCTCATGGCCCATAAAGTCTAAATTGCAAATCTTGGTATTTAAATATTAATACTAACTGTAGGCAAAAAACAACAACAACAACAACAACAACAACAAACCTGTAGCAATTTCAGTTAAAAAATGCAGGGAGCGCAGAACTTTCAAATGTTTAACTAAATGGCAAGACTTTGCACAGAAAGTAGAGCAAGGGTTTTTGGCCAGGTGTTAGGAATAGCATGACACTGAGCAACTTCTTGGTGCCCTCATTTTAATACTTCTCAAGGAGACTGAAATACAATGTGATCCTTTTTTTTTTTCTTTTGAGACAGAGTCTCGCTCTGTCACCCAGGCTGGAGTGCAGTGGTGCAATCTTGGCTTACAGCAGCCTCTGCCTCCTAGGTTCAAGTGATTCTCATGCCTCAGCATCCTGAGTAGCTGAGATTACAGGTGCCTGCTACCACGCTAATTTTTGTATTTTTAATTGAGAAGAGGGTTTGCCATGTTGCCTAGGCTGGTTTAAAACTCCCGATCTCAGGTGATCCATCCAACTTGGCTTCCCAAAGTGCTGGGATTACAGGCATGAGCCACCATGCCCGGCCACAACGTAATCTTTATTAAACACTTGGATTGACTTAAACACATTCATGGCATTTAAAATATTGAATTTTAGGCCAAGTGCATGCCTGTAATCCCAACACTTTGGGAGGCTGAGGCAGGCGATCACCTAAGGTTGCGAGTTCAAAACCAACCTAACCAACATGGAGAAACCCCATCTCTCTAAAAA